GCGAACAGGTTTGTGACCAAAACTGGTTGGACACTGAAAGCCAAGCTTTGCAGAACTCATCTGATGCTCCAAGCAAGGATGGATGTAAAAGACACCACAGAATGCATCAAAGCAATCAAGACTCCTTTTTGGAAGGCTGAATCTAAATTGTTATCAGTTTGTTAGATAGAATAGGAATGTCAGTTCAGATGCAAATAGCAGCCATATCCCAGACAAAGGAGGGCAAGATGGAGTTACACGCATGCCTTGGGCTGTCAGGATCACTGTTCAGCAGAGAGAAATGCAGAAGAGAGAATGCATGCGTGCGAGTGATCCCTTGGAAAAAAAAAAAAGATGCTCGATATTACACTGAGCTAAAGAGCATTGAATCGGGCATGGATCACCTCCCTCTTCAACCTATTTGACATTACACAGTTCCCCTGCAAGAAAGGTGACTGCACTAAAGCTTTCAGGGCATCCCTTGAAAGAGCACGCCTTATTTAAGAATGTCCAAAAATGAATGGAAGGTGCATTTTTCTTCAGAAAAATTTTTTGCACATTCCTGAACTTTCAATCACATTTACAAAATGTGCATGTATTAACACGTGAATTTTGCCATCACATTTTACCCAAAATATGAATTTTCACACTTTAGTCAATGGCGGGGGTGGGGGAGTGCTCATTTTTGAAAAATGCACACAGAAATGCATACTTTCCCCATTCAAATTAACAAAAAAGAGGGGGGAGCCCTAACCCATACCGCATGAAAGCAGGAATGAGCTAAACTGAGCTTCAAAGAGAATTTCAGCAAGCTGAAGCATCCCTAGTTCTTCCAGCCTTAGCCATCACTTCTGCATCTCTGGGAATAAGTGCATGAGATAGGTTGCTCCACCTGAGTTCAGACTTTAACAGAATGGAAGTTTGAGAAGTCCATAGAGTATGCTTTGTGCAGGTGAGCTGTCTCAGGAGCAAAGTCTGTGATATATCTATTAGCTAGGATAGCTGCAATCTACCATGTAGAGCAGTAGCATACTTTTGAATACCAGAAGCTGAAAACAAGCAGAGGAGGTTGTTTCATTATGTTCAGCTGGTGGGCAGCAAAGTGTGAGAAACAGACTGCCGGCCCTGATTCAGCAGGGTTCTTATTTTGAACTAAAAGATGATTAATATTCTTGAGGGATTTGAATAGGATCCCATTGTAGCACTGAATTCCTGTGGCTTAGGCTGACAAGACACAATTGTGTACCATGAGAGATTGTCAATCATAAGAAGGCAGCGATTACTTGTGAACAGAAATGTGCTTAAGAGAAATAAACACACTTTTGCTGCAGAACTGAGACATGTCCTAAATTCTGTGATGAGTGCATTTGAGGTTATCAGTGAAAGCACCATGGTACTCTCCTGTGTGGCAAAAGGGACATGGCCTCTGTGAGATGCACCAAGTAGACAGTGCAAAGAATACTTATAGGTATACAAGAAACAATTTCTTTGTTCTTTCTTCCATGGGTTTTCCTCCCTGTTCACTGGTTTCCAAAATTTACACTCAGCTGTAGCAGCAAGTCTCCACATTAGATAAATAAGCCTTTCGGCACCTTAAAGAAAAGCATTTTTTTAAATAGCATAAGCTTTTGCGGATTACAACCTTATTATGGCATAATAAGGTTGTTAAATCTTTAAAGAGCCACATGAATCTGTTGGTTTTGCTGTTAACAGACTGGCATGACTATGCCATCTCTGAGGATCTATACTGAATGCTCATTTCAAACTTGGAAACCTTCCAGCACCAGAAAGGTTCTTAATACAAGGCAGGCAAAGAACTATACCCTATTTGATTCCATTCAAGCCATTCTTAAGCAGTGCCAGGAAGGAACTTCAAGGAAACTGCTCTGAGTGCCAGGTCTAAACAAAGTGCTTTGTGGATGCCTATCTCGACACTCCAAAAGGGTTGTTGCATATTTCATTCCTCACTAGAACTGCAGTCAGGTGTTCAAGGCATAGAAGTACAGCTTTGTAGAGTGGGGTAAAGTATGACAAAGGAGAACCCAATTTCATGCACAGGTTCTCCCCACAATTGAGAACCCCGAAGATGTGTGGCTCTTTAATTCTGCAGGCAGCTGAGTGGAGCAGGCTCTCCGTTTCATGCCTTCCTCTACAACATGTGGATGGCAGGGGACATGTTCGAGAGGCCAGAGCCAGCCATGGACCTGCCCCCCCCCCCCCCCCCCCCACTACACATGAGTGCAAACGTATAAGGAGGAAGGAGAAGAAAGACTGGGGGTTTCAGTTGCAGGCCCTGCTCCCTCCATCAAGATCACTCATCATTATTTTTTCATGCCTTCTTTCTTTGCTTCGTTTCTATAATGAAGTTGAAGCTCTCTGGACAGGTCACAAAATTACACGCCACAATACAAGCTAAACAAATATAATATGGAACAGTTGAAAAGCATGTAAACAGCTCAAACAGTTACATCAAGATACTCGATCTGATTAACACAACTGAGATAAATAACCCATCCTCCTTTCAAATGCCTGGGAGTTCATGATGGTCTTTCATTTAGTGCTAAAAATATGACAGTTCTGACACCAGGCGGACATCAGCAGAGAAAACATTCCACAATCAGGGGACCATCACTGAGAAGGCCTTCCCCCTTGCTGCCACCTTCTGGGTCTTTCTCAAAATAGAGTCTGAGGTTGACCTCCATGTCTGGTAAATTCAGGTTAGGACAGGCTCTCTGTTTAGGTGAATCCACCAAATAGGGTATTGATGTAGATGGGTAGAAATTGGCAGGGAATCTGTAGACCTCCAGATGCTGTTGGACTACAGCAACTATCATCCCTGACTGTTGGCCATGATAACTAGTGGTGATGGAAGTTAGAATTCAATTGCCTCTGGAGAACCACAATGTCCTGCCTCTAAATTACGTCATCTGTCCAGTCAACTAGAATAGTAACTACTTGCTAATCATTACTTAGAACTGATATATTTTATTTACTTTTTAAAAGTTGACTTCTTTTCCACCCTAAGATATTCAACGTGGATTTGTTGTCAGCTTCACGCATCAGCAAAATCATTCAGAAGTATGCAGTGGTAAAACTTCTTCTGAATTATACCACTGTAGGCTGTAGGGTGGGTAGAGACTGTATGTTTGAATACTATGCCTTGACAGTGCCTTCTGACCTTAAAAAGAACAGATCAGAGGGAAAGTTTCAGCCTTAGCATGCTGCAAATAATTATTGTCATGGGAAAATAATGCAAACACACAAACTTGCCTGCCCTGTTGCATGCATAAGTGGTTCAGCCCAGGAGAAGCTTTAACACATCACTTGCCTGCCTTGTAACTATAAAAAGCACAGGCAGTACTAGTCTTAAAATGTATTCTGCATTTTTATAGTTCTTATTCTATTTGATAGGGAAGAAATGTTTTCTAAGATATATTTTTAAAGAAGAAAATTATGGTGAAATTCCATGTGTGGTCAGATGGATGAACCAGAATTAAGAAAAAGTGAATCTAAACACTTGCAAAATCCTTCCCATGACCACACAGGAGGAAGAGGAAGGAGGAAGTGCTCATCAGTGGCTCCTTCTCAACTTGGGAAGAGGCAACAAGTAGCGTATAGCAGGGTTCAGTCTTGGGCCCAGTGCTTTCCAACATCTTTATTCATGATTTGGATGAGAAGTGCAAGGAATGATTTTCAGATGTGCAGGTGACACAAAACTGGGTGGGATACCAATGCCCTGGAAGTTGGAAAGAAGATTCAAGGTAATCTAGACAGGTTGGTGAGCTAGACTGGAAACAACAGAATGAAATTCAATAGGGACAAATACCAGGTTCTGCACCTAGGACAAAGAAACCAAATGCATCATTACAAGATGGGGAATACTTGGTTCAACAATCTTGGAACTGTTGTAGATCACAACCTGAATATGAGTCAACAATGTGATGTGGCTACAAAAAGGGCAAATGCTATTTCAAGCTGCATTAATAGAAGTATCACATTCAAATCATGTGAAATACTAGTTCTCCTTTATTCCATACTGGTTAGGCCTCATCTGGAGTACTGGGTCCACTTCTGGGCACCAGTTTAAGGAAGATGCAGACAAGCTGGAAAGGGTCCAGCGGAGGGCAACACAAATGATCCTGGAGACAAACCCTCATGAGAAGAGATTGAAAGAACTGGGCAAGTTGAGCCTCAAAAAGAGAAGACTGAAGGGGGATATGCAAGTACTTGAAAGGCGGTCACAAAGAGGAAGGACAGGATCTCTTCTCAATCATCCCAGGGTGCAGGACATGGAAAAACTGGCTCAAGTTACACCAAGCCAGCTTCCAGTTAGAAAGCAAGAAAAATATCCTCATAGACTGTCAGAGCAGTACGACAATGAAACCAGTTACCTAGGGAGGTTGTGGGCTCTCCCACACTAGAGGCATTCAAGATGCAGCTAGACAGCCATCTGCAAGGGACAGTTTAAATGGAGCCCGGCACTGAGCAGGGGGTTCAATGGTCCTCTGGCCCCTTCCAACTCTACTGTTCTATGATTCAATGAGAGCAAATTAGATAAGCCTAAATCTTGGGCTCATTCTAATTTGCACACATAGTGCTAAACTATGGATTAATGTTATGTGTGAACTGGGTGAAAATAAAATAAACCATGGTTTGGGTTAAACCCTTCTTTCCCAACCTAGTACCTTCCAAATGGAAGGTAACAACTCTCCCCTCCCCAGTCATTGGCCCCATTGACCAGGGAAGAGGAGAGTTGCAGTCTGAAAAAGCTGAGCTAAACAAGCCATGGTTTCAATGTCCAACTCCCACCAGAGACTGTTCATGGCATAATTGGCAAGGCCAGCATTGCATCTGTTTTCTTTTTTAAAAAAAATAAGGAGAACTTTGACACTGGAAACTCTGAGATAGCTCAGGTCCCTGTTGCTCAAAGTTTCTTTCTGGATACAATGATAGGAACCTCTGAGAAGTTACACCAGCCACCTCACCACGTACTTTCATGGTGGGTATCAAAGTGGGTCACACTACACAACCCCAGGGATGATACTGAAAGTGCTTTGGTTGGGCATCAGAGAGGTTGCAGAAGGGCTTAGAGGCTTCATCTGAACTGTACCAGCCTTCTTTCCTTCCAGCCAGTAAGTTATCATGTCACCTTTCCCCTAGAAAGAGAAAAACAATAACACAGCATATCAGTGTGTCCACAGCAATCTCTTTGAGAACATTTGCTCTATATATGAGAACTACAAAAGAGGAGTAGAATAGCCCTGTGCTTTATTTTACTTGCACTGCAGTTAGGGCTCCATGCTACAAGCTTTATTCCATAAGTTAATCAACTAAACGCTTATTCCTATGCATGTTTATGCAATAACAAGTCTTCTGCTCCCAACAGTTCCCAGCCAGCCATGTTTTTCTGTCTGAACATGCATAGGGCCATATTCTCAAACATAATTTCAAGCCATGGTTTACTTCATCTTTTCTGAAGCTATGAGCCACAGTTTCCTGATTTTGACAAATCAGAAAGTTCACTGAAGACTTCCTGCCTTATTTTTCATCTCAGATGAATGATGGAATGAAGTAGACTGCATGCCTAGGCAAAAAGCTCACTGACATCCCAGCTTGTTAAGCAATGATGCAACAGTCTAAAGGTGGTAATTAAATTTGGTGCTCCCATCAATTAGTGACAACTAAATGCTCAGTTATCTTATACTTGCTGCAGTATGTCAAATATACCTAGACTGAACTTTCCATTATATGGGCATTTAATTGGTACATTAATCAGGTAAAAGGCAAATAGCTGACCATCTCAATTTCTTTAATAAACAGCCCAAATAGGAACATATCTGTACTATGACATGTGGATATAAGAATTGGCCACGCTTTTACCATCTCGTTGGAACAAAAGCCTTGAAGTGAGATTACACTAAACTCCTGGACTTTTGTCTATGGGCCATTCTAACTTACCACAACAGTACACTGTAGTGGTCTTCAGCATGACTCCTGTTTTGATGGAATTATCTTTAGCTTTGTTTGTTTGTTTCAGAACCAAGTTATGTGAAGGGCAATGTCATATGAAGGGATCAACTGTACTTTGTTGGGCTGGCACCACAATAGTAACTCAAGGCTACTCTTAACTTAAAAGAAAAACAACAACAACCAGATGTCAGTTTCAGGTTTCACATTAAATATATGGATGCTTAAGTGTTTGGTTGGATCCAGTTAATAAGTTTAAAGATTCCAAGATCTATCTGTGAGGAATGCCTATCTTCCTCAATACATTCCCAATCACTACAGAAGAAAATGTACCACAACTATTTATCAGGTAAGTCTTTACTGGGGGGGGGGGGGGGGGGGGGGGGGGAAGCAGGGAAAAGCAAAGCTCTGGCCAGGTAAGTAGGGAACTCACTGACAGGAATGAGCAGGATCCAAGGTAAGTAACAGGCCTGGGGAAAGAGCTAACTAAATGCATGAGGCAGGGAAACTAGAAGATGAACCCAGGGCTGGCTCTACAATTACATGGGCTGATGCCCCCCCCCCCCCCCCAGCAGGCATGAAGAGCAGCAAATCGCACTCGTCTTCCTGCCAGCTGCCAAGAGGCCCACTGCTGCCTTGCTGCTGGCAGGTACTCTGGGAGATCCGGCCAGGCACTCTCCTGTTGTGGCATGTGCTGCAGCAAGAAAGCAAGTGGCAGAGCTCTCTGGAGCAATGTGCTGCTTGCACCGCCAGCTACTGCTGCTAGTGCTCCTCACTTTGGGCGCAGGTGGCTCCTACCCTTTTGGCCAGCTGGCTGGCTGCTTTCTCACCTACTCAACCAGTTGGCCCAGCTAGCTGCTTGTCCGCTCCCACCTTGTGCCCCAGCTGCAGGGCTCCCACAAGGAGTCAGCGGACCTCTTGCAAAAGCCCCACAACTGGGGCACAGCAGGAGTGACCAAAGGAAAAGGGTGAGTGAGCAGGGGCTGGCCAGCAAGCGGAGAGAAGGGATGGAGAGCAGGCTGGCCAGCCAAGCAAGCGAGTGAGTGGGCCCTGCACTGGCACTTCACCTGAGGCCTGATGGGTGTGCACAAGATGCAAGCACAAGCAGCCATCCCACCAAAGCTCTTCAAACGCAAGCTACTGGCCTGTCTGCTGATCGCCTTTCCTTGCTTCCCTTTACAGTTGGAGGCAAAGGAGGGCAGGAAGCAGAAGAGGCTCCAGGTGCACTTACATTCTAAAGGAAGTCTGGGCTGAAGTGAGACTAATGGGCTTCTTTGGGAAAAAGCTGGGGTGCTATCTTTCTCTGAAGGGGCTGGGCAGTTACTCATTTCCAAAAAGAGAGAGGTTGGGGATGAAGGCCTCTCTCACAGATACTCACACCATCTGTAACAGATCTGGCTGGCTGGAGTTAACTTGTGGCAAGAGAAAACACTATCTAGAATTCAGTTTTCCTACATAGCACAGCTTCATCTTCCAGGCTTAAGGCGTTGTGTTAAAAATAGGTCCCACAGGACCTAGGCGCAAATTAGGCCCTAGGGTGCCAATGATGCTCAGTATTATGAGCACACTGCAGCTCCTCATGGTTGGGAGGGGAATGAAATATGAATGTGCCCTGAGAAGCACTCTGGAACTGAATGCTCTCCATGCCACCAAGTAGACTAAAAGCCAGCCAATGCAAGGGTTAAAACAGAGCCTTCCAGAGGAACTGCCACTCACTGCCTTCAGAAAAGCCTGAAGAACACAAAACAGTTTATATTTACCTTGACTTGCAAATTCCCCCGGCACACCAATATGTACTCTCCAATCTGTTCCAGCAGCTGGTATGTGTTTGAACTGCACTGTATTTTGAGAGCTAAAGGGAAGGAGATGAGCAACTAAGCCAGTGTAATCATATTTGCTTCCATTTTCAAAGGCGCACGCATTGATCACTCTGCTCTTGGACAAAGTTAAGGTACTGAATGCCCAGCACCTTGCTTCATCTGTTTAGTTTCTGCCAATTGATGTATTCACAGAGGAGCCGTGAGGTCTCTGTCTTGTGTCTGAAGCACGGCTGCCTGTGGCTCCGATGTCAGTAGACCAGTGTATCCACTCCAGATTGCAGCCTGAACCTTAGAGCAACTATTGATAGTCAGCCTCATCGATAGCTCCCTCTAAGTTCAGACTGAAGCCCAGAGTGGGTTCACCTCACCACTGGCACTGGAACCACCAGTCTCCAGTGTTGCTGCCACAGTCCTGTATCTAACAGCATTTCCTGATAGCTATTGTCCAGGTGACCTTCCCCTTCCCAAAGATGACCCCCAACCGCAGGTAGTTTCACTTAGGTTTTCCAGCTCCCCCCACCACCACTTTTGCCCCCAGTGCAAAATGGACAGCAGCCCATTTCAAAGAACTGTAGCAAGCAGAAGTCCCTCCACCTGGTATGGAGATGAGCAAGTGATGCAAACAGCTTTACAGCTGTAACTTCTGGGTTTGTGGTAGCTGAATAAGCATAGGAGGTGACCAGCCTCATTTCTTGATCTTTCTGCAAGTTTTCTCCCATACCCTGAAAGGAATGGAAGCTGCACAAGAGGTGGGTTAGACCCATTGCACAAAAGAACCCCCTCATAGATTATACACACTGCCTATTTTTCCCCCTACTGATATTCCTACTTTTTCCCTCTGTGGAAACAGAAGTTCATTGCTCCATGACAGGAAAAGGCTAAATGCAGCACACATGTGGCTCCCGGGAACTTTTCCATAGTCAGCACTGCTGCCATTGAATTTGCAATGGCAGCAGAAAAACACACAAACAAACAAAGAAACAAACGAACAACAAAAAGGATAATTTTGTGGATTTTGTGCTTCATGGATTGTGAGGTATCTTTCATTTCACGGTTCACTCAATGATGGAATCAGTTTTTTTCCCCTTTCAAAACAGTACATAAAAACATCCGTTGTGATCTATGTATTTTTCACTAGTGCATAACATTTGTGCATTTTTCTTAGCTCAGGGTACAAACAACAAGCAGAGTAAAAAAAAAAGAGTGAACAGCTGAGGCTGAAGAGAGACAGAGATCTTCAAAATATCTTTCATATGCTTTTAAAAATGGTGCATGTGTTAGCATATTTTCCAGTAATGCTCATATTTTTGTATAACTAATCCTGGAAGTTAAAAACAAGAAGTCTACAAGACCACAAGACTCAGAAGTTGCTAGTAGGTAATGGAATCTAAGGATTGGATTCATAAAAATCCAATGTCCTTTGAATTGATTTTAGATTTCTTTTTCTTCCTTAGTCTTGGCCTGCCAGTCCAGTTCCTGATATCAGGAGAGAGGCTTTAGCTGCTCCAAAACAGCAGCCTCCAGATTGCTGGTTCTGACTCATGCCACCTGGGAGTTCCCATTGGGAAACTGGGGCCCACCTCAACACCCTTTGCTGCTGCAAAGTGGTGACTAGGGCCCTACCAGGGTATTTAGCCAAGTGCTCAAGATTCTCCCATGTCAAGCTGCTGAGGCTGATAGGTGGTGATGTTCTTCAATGTCCCAGGACCCCTGCCTGGGGGTAATCTGGTCTCCCAGAATGAAGAAGTTTCCTATTCATACCCTGCAGGTCCAACTTGTCCAGCATACTATGAAGGAAAGCAAGCAACCCTCAGCTACTATGGGGTTCACCAGAAAGCTGTACCACTTGACAGCTGCCACCCATGCCCATGGCTAGGCAAACATCTTTGGCTGCTGGTTCTCAATTTTAAGTAGCTGACCAATCTTTGTGCTGCTGGTACTTTACAAGTTCATTTTACTGCAAAAGAATGAGAAATAAATATTAAGCCTTCAAAGTACCCTGGATTTGGTTTGTTCTAATGGGAATGCAGGAGGGAAAGTTGAGTTTAAAATGAGCTCATTCTAAATGTTCTTACTGAGGTTTGCTGATCCTTGTCGTTTAGTTGCCATACCTTCACTGGTGGACTCCATCCTAGAGGCAGTGTTGACAGTGTCCCCAAATAAGCAGTACCGGGGCATTTTTGTTCCAACAACTCCTGCCACAACTGGCCCTGGAAAAGACAAAAAGTTCAAGGAACCTTTTAATTCATGGGCATTTACTGCAGTTCTTCATAATGTTAGACAATGGCCAAGGCATGCAGATTTCCATCCTATGAAGGTTCACTGCTCTACAAAATGGCAGTGCTGAGGTAGTTGCAGGGGGTGGAATACCATCTGCAAACAAAGGGGAAAAGAACAAGAAACAGGATGAAGACAGAGGTGGAATTCTACCCATAGGGGGAAGAAATTTATTTGGGGTGAATAAGATTGTTTTTCCCTAGCTCTAATTCTTAGTCCAATAAAACTAATAATCCTAATCCTAACCCTACCCCTAACCCTCCTATTGAGTCTTTAGACTAGTGCTAATCAAAAAGTGAGATAAACATAACAAAAACAACATTAACACCAATGCCCACAGTGGAAAGTTGCATTTTTTATTTCCCCTCTTACTGCCAATGAAATTAGTATGTGGAAATAACCTAAGAGGTCTGGTTTCATTTCCACCCTAACCATTCCAAAGTTAAAAAGGAATGCCTGTCTTCATATATCCCTACCAGATATTTGAGAACTTCTGTGGATGCCCTTCTATGTGCCCCCATCCACATGAAGTAAGGGGGGAAATGGCAGGAAAAGGGGCTGTTATCCTGCCATGTCTTTGGAATGCCCTCCCTAAGGAGTCACAATTGGTGCCCAAACTACTCAGTTTCCATCACTGGGTAAAGACATTTTTATTTCGCATTTATTTTTGGTATAATTTATGGTTTTATTATGTCCTGTTACTGCTTGCTTTTATTTGTCATGTGAATTTGTCTCCTGTTCCCAATATTATTCATTTTTATATTTGGATGTACTAGTTTTTAATTTGTTTGATTTTATTCTTTACATCATTGATTGTTGTTTTGTGAGCTTCCCAGAGCCCTTGGGCTATGGGGTGGCATACAAATGTTACAAATGTATAAATAAACAAAGGCATCAGAGGCATTGTTCATGGCACTGGCCTCCCCACTCCCCTCAAAAAATACCTGAGTGGATTCCTGCTCGAATCTTTAGCTGAGTGTCAGGCTTGTGTGGAATCCGAAATGTTTTGCATACCGATACAAGTTCCAGAGCCATACTTGCAATTTCACTGGCATGACAGATGCCATTCTCTTTGGGCACTCCTGACACAACCATGTCTAAGGAAGAAAAATGAGAACAATTATCTATATCACCACTACCACCACTCTTACTACAATTTCTCTCACACACACCACCACCACTACCACCACCACCACCAGAAAGGGAAGGAAACTAAAAATGACTCTTTAAAGAGTCGCACTGGAGCTGCCAATTATGCTAATTCGCACTTCACCCTTATACAAATGCAGGCTTCCTTTATCTCAAGGATTCTTTAGCCAAGTGGTGGGTGGCTACTAGGATATATGAATGTATCCCTTTTAGGCTTTGCTGCACATCCTGTGAACAGTCACTACTGGAATCTGCCAGAAGCAGCAGGCAGATTGTTTTCCCCTTCCCCACAAGACCTATAAAAAGCACAGATCAATCCCAAAACCAGTCTGTGATTATTAACTTTGCAATCTTTGACAAATAGGAGAAATCACTTCAGAAGAGTTATATAGGAAGCAAAAGTGGTTTTGATGTTAACCCTGTTGTATCAGGGCCAAGCAGAGAGCACAGGGCATGGGGATGGACGAGCAGTTGCCCCTGAATGCGGAGCTGAAGGCCAGAGCCTAAAAATAACCCTGCGGAATTTGCTAATGGATTGACCAGACAAGGAAAGAAGGCCACTAATATTTCTATCAGCCTAGTTCAACCCGGGGGTTTCATATTGTCTGCCAAATGCAGGAATGGATATTGCACCCCAGTACATTTGTTCAGCCTAAAAATGACAAAGAAAGAAAAACAGATGGACAGACGGACAGGCTGTGAGTGCACAAGAGTGAATGAGCACGCTGCCTCCCAACCACTCAACTGCTTCTGCTTTGTTCCTGGGTTCTTTGCCCTGATGTCTGAATCCAGTACTCTAGGCTGTTGAGGGAGAAACAACCCAGAGATTCAAACTGTGGTTTGTTGTTGGGCTGAATCTTTGTGTTGCTTCTTCCTCAAGAACCCGGAGTGCTGAGTTCAGACATGCAGTTCCTGAACTGTTTTGCCAAGTGCAAGTGAGCAAATGGTTGGAGCACACATGTGAGCAAGTGGCAGCACAACTCAAACTTATTACTACATGGTCACAACCACCCATAGTTTCAACAACTCATAGGTAGTTGTTACGTACCAGCGAGATCAGGAAAAGGAGAGAGAAGTATGCAGCACAGGGTGGGCTCCAGGAGTGAGGGAATTCTTGGCAAACTGTGATATTGCAGGGGGCCCTATTTGTAGGCTTACTAGGCTACAGTGGCAGGTGGCTGGGAAAGTGTCATTTTTAATTCCCTTTCATGCCCAAAGCATCCACTCTAGGGCATTAGGTGAAATTAAAGGGGCTGTCTCCACATGGAGACTCAGCATGGTACCCTCAGGCCATCTTGTTGGCTCTCACAGTGCTTGGATTCCAACTGCTGTGTAAGGATGCTGAGCACAGTCTTCCCAAAAACAAAACTACTCCCCCCATCCCTGCAATTACGTTTATGCCTCAGGACATTTCCCTGCCTAGATTTTGTAACTGTTTGCATTTTGCATACATTGCATCACAATAAATCTACTGACATTTTTCTGGCATTCCTTGCCCTTTCCACCTCACTTTGTAAAAACCTAAACAAAACATTCTTTTGTGCTATTTTCAGGGTAAATATACCCTTCCATTTAGGACACCACTTCATGCATCTAATGGAGGGATGGTGACCCCTCCAGATGATGCTGGACTGGAAACATCCATCACAATGCTGGCTAAGCCTGATGGGAACTGTAGTTTAACAACCTCTGAAAACCCATACATTACGTACTCGATTTAATGAAATGGTTTACCACCACAAAAAACAATGCCACAATAACCTTCTTAGTCTTTAAGGCAGAAGTATGGAACTTGTGGCCATTTGTTGCTGGACTACAAATCACACCACCTTTGCCCACTGGTCATATTGACAGGGCTGACAACAATTAGAGTAGAGGCCATCGATTGCCCACAGTTGCTTTAAGGTGTCACTGGTCTTTTGATGTTTGGGTCCTTAGGAGGAAAAAACCTGCAGAAAAACAATTAAGTTCTTCCTCTTTGTTTGTTTAGGTTTTCTAAGTCCTCTGTCTCCATTTTGCAATCGAATAAAAACATGTACACAGGAAATAATTTATGCATAGTATATTCATGAAGGTTTATTGGAATTTAGGAAAATAATGGTAATATTCATACATAGTATTTCAAATGTTCAAAATACTTTGCATGCATCATCTCAGAACCCCCGATACCATCTTGTTATGCAGATGTGTGCAAAGGCTTAAAAAAACTCTTTTGCTGGCAATTTGGGTTGAAGGAAGAACTAAACTAGAGGACTGCTTGACTCTTTGTACATGCTTTTAGCAGAAAAGGTGCTGAATTAAAAAAAGTTTTTTTCTTTGCACACAACTAGAGTTCAATTCCTTTTCATTGTAGGTGATAATCTTTTGGACTTTCATTTTGGTTTTTTAAAGACACCACACAGGGCTGACACTCACAGGCATCTCCTATAGTCTCCACCTTGTAGACATCATAATTATCGATAATTTCATCAAAGGTTGTATAGAGTTTGTTTAAGAAGTCCACCACTTGGTAAGGTGTGCTGGTGCTGGAGAGCTGGGTGAAGCCAACAATGTCACTGGCAAGAAAGAAGAAATCTAGTCATGCTGTATGATGTGTAAGTAGTCCAGGAAATGTTTTGAAACTGACACAACATTTTCCTGATAAAATTCAAATTCTGCATGTTAAGCAGTTTCTTCCACCTTTCTCTGTTTCACCCCCAGAATTGCCTATGATCATTATTTTGTTCCTTTGGATCCATAAACTGGCAGATTAAAATATAATAGAGGAATGCGACATTGAACATCTGTCAGCCAATGCGGGTTTAGCTAAACTATTAATGTCAAAGGATCAGTGTGGATGAGAATGTTCCAGGGAGTATGAAGCCTGGTTTATAAGAACATGCTATAGTCTTCTGCACTTGCATATTGTTGGGATAATTTTGGTTCCAGCATATCCCTGTTGCACAAAAAGATAAAGAAGCTATGAAAGATGGCTCTCTGCTCTTAACTATGTGTGAGCATGTTTGTTTATGAATTTGTAAGTTAGCATTACTTCCCTTTGTCTGTGAACATGGCATTTATACTGAATTTTGGTTAATATGCAAATTTATTTGCTTTTCAGCACTTAATTATCTGATGAAAGGCAGATAATGAATTTACTGAAATTCTTTAATTGGTTGGCAATGGCAGGAAAAAACAGCATATCCGACTGAGGCTTTCACTATTTCTGCCATCATAATTATCTGTCAGCCCCCACATGTTCTGTTTTCTACAGAGCAAATTATGTACAGTACGTGCATATAAAGGTATGCTCTGCACATTTCATCCCAGTTGCAGAACATGTGAATAAGTGCAATGATTTCTAAAAATCATGGTTTAAAAGTGCTCTTGGCCTACCAACTTCTGTACTGGCTCTGCAGGGTAATCAGTTGTGGCCAGAGGATCAGTATTGTTTAATATGAAAAGCTATCAGCTTTTTGAAACAGTGTTGCTTGAGTTAAATCCACCACCAAAAAGAAAAAGAAAAAGAAAAAAGGAAAAGGGAAAAAAGAACAGTACTCAACCACTGTAAATAATATAAAATGTGTGATTTGTTGTACCAAATTAGAAAATAGTACAGTATTGCAAAGCTACAAAGTCCATATACAAGAAAAGGTGGAGGTAAAATGCAAATTCACAAATGGAGTTAATGAAAAGATGCACACAGAATGCACAAATGTGCATCCAGTACAGTACCCATTTCAACACTCTTCACCAGAAGTGTTAAGAATTACTCTTCTGTTTAAGCTACGGAAGCTTTAGAATTTAACAAGGTCAAACACGTGTTTTATTGTCTTGTGCTGATGCCCATCGTTCGCTTTTTTCACGTCCTCCTTAAGATACTAAAAAGACAACTGCAGCATGCCATTTAGTCAAACATGATCCCATTTGGCAGTGTTCAATTCTAAACATCTCTGTGCATTAACAGATTTGTTCCACTTTGACTGGTCTTCCATTTTCACATTTTGGGAAGTGTGGTCCTGTTTCATTGTATTTCCCCCTTCTTTTGTATGTGGGCTTTGTAATTTGGCATTACTATTTTCACGTTCCCCCTTTTCGGAGGAGTTTTGAAACTGTTGGTCTCCTCTTTGTTCGCTGTTTAAGTTCAATCCAGCCATATCAGTTTGGCAGGGGTTTGACTGATGGGCATTTGGGAGATGCAAATAGCATCCTTTTATTTAGCTCTGCACCCTCAAGCGCTAGCAATCAGTAGAAACTCTCTTGCAAGCCCTCTTGCAAAGAAGAACTACCCCCTCATTCATTTTTTTTAATGACAGGGATAGAAAATGTTTACAAAACTCTGAAGTTTACGTTTTTTGTTTTCCTTTGTAAGATACAAGAGCTCTCCAAAGCCAAAAATATGTGCTGAATCAATTAAACATCATTTACAAGAAGAGTACATAATATCTTATCTATATGTTAGTTTTACATCTGTTGAGCACATAAATCTCAGTGTTGTCCATCCTGTCATATATAAATCTTGCCCATCTGCCCTGCTTACACAAGCAGATGTAAGCATAAATCAGCAGACATTAATCTGCAAAATTTTAATGGACTTGCTTGCTCAGTGCAGAAACATGCAATTCAGTTGAATTCTAAATGATAGTGTCTTTCTTAAACAAAAAGAAAAAAAGATCAAAAATTATTTTGCATAAAGCAAGATACAGATGATTATTTTTCTGGAGTGATTAGAGCAACTTCTTCCTTTCTGACACTAACTCTGATCCAGCATAGAAAACTTCATAATCATATACGTGTAATGGATGGAGACATTTTGCTGTAAGAAAGAATTCTTCATTCTTGTTTCCCAGTTCCTAATTGCAGCCAATTCTCCTTCTGAATGGCATTTTAAAGATATTAGTGGCACCTATGTCTTTTTAAACACAAAAATAAGCATAGGAGCCCTAAGCATGGAGCACAGGGGGCCTCAGTTCTTGTGCCATTCTGTACTCCCTCTGTCTTCATGATGGCAATTTATGTTGCCTAAAAGTGACCCACCGAAATAAATGTTGTTTCAGGGCCATGACAGAAACAGAGCCAACTTTTTGATTTAGAGCACAGAAACTGATTAGACCAAATGGCATGAAACTTCGGATCTACTTAATTTCACTCCATTACCCAGCCTATGACCACCCAAAGACTATGGAGTACACATGTAGAAAAGGACACTTTTGTGCAGATAAATCTTGCTCCTCCTATCTTTTGACACAATGTTGTAAGTATGGAAGAGGAGTGTGTAACTCATGATATGCACTAATGGCAGTCATACTCCTTGTATTTTGCAGAACTGCTGCATTTCATGCTCATAGTGACTTGTTGCAAGATAATTGCAAAGTCAGTTGTGCAAAGATAAGAAAAATGAACATGTGTATCATCATGGACAATTATAGTTCTACAGAAGCAGCTCCCCATCTTTGGAAAGCTGTTCACAAAGGCTAAACAACTTGCACTCTTAAATTGGTTCACACATACCTGAAAAAGACGGTGGAGTTTATGAAACTTTGGGCCTGTGATGGCTTCCCTTGCCTTAAATCATCTGCCACCTGTTTTGGCAGCATGCCTGTTTTGTATAATAAGAGAAGTTATTATTACTAAAATAAAATGTCAACTAAACCTTATTGCATTAATACAACTAATGTGTTTTGCAGTGGGAAAACTATATGTGCATAATGCATGTTATTTGCCACCAGTTAAAATATCGCCACTACCACCAAACCAGCTAAATGGGGATTTGCATCAGGGTCCTTGAAATGGTTCCTCTGTGCTTAGTTATTTTACTGATATGAAATCAGCAATATTAATGAAACACCTACCTAATTTCTTTGCTGACTCATGACTCTGTTTAAAGGCTAGAAATCTGAAGATTCCAAAATGTGAGTTTCCTCATCAAACATTCACATTCTTCTCTTCATTCTTTCCTCCCTGTTCTTTTTCATCATTCAAAGTATTTTTGATTTAATTGTTTTATTTTATTTAGAATATTTTTATACTTTCATGCTATATTTCATCAAAGTATCTCCTTCATTCTCCCTTGCTAGGATTCTTTGAAAATAATTACTGGGTCTTGAACTGTGGTAGCTGGACCATTATAAAAATAACAAAGAAACAAGTTGAAACTCCAGAAGTTTCTCTGATGTTTCTACCACATGCTGAAGAGACACTGATTGTTCCACTTAATATTTTAAACTGTTAAATAATGCAAGTTGCTGATGCAGAGACCTCAAAAGTATTGTGTTATTCTTTCTTGTATACACACATTGTTCTAGTAAACAGATGCTAGAATTAGCAGCAGTTACCTAATCAGGATGGTAATATATATTTCAACTATCAGAAAGGGAAGGACTCTTTACACCAGTCTCTAGAGCAAGAGGGTGTTACTGCATTCATGTCCAGGCATCTGGCCAGCCACTAGGAGAACACAATGGTGGAGTAGAGAGGCCTTTGGGCCAATTCAGCCCAGTTCACACTTCCTTAATTTAGTGTAACGGTTGAGTTTGGATTTAGAATTTTTTCAAGTATCATCTCACAATTGTAGCCACCTTATGAGAAACAATGTTTCTTAAAGAACAAGCAAAAGAGAACAAATCACAATTCTTGGATGCAAAATCATTTAAGAACCACCAATACATTTCTGAATGCTACCCATACCAGAGCAATAAATATGTAGCAATTGCTCAAAGTATACTGGATTCCCACTGATATTGACCACTTACTATACAACAAGCGATCTGTCTTCTGCTTTTCGTGTGTTAAGTCCTGTGTTCTTTCCGCTACCAACACTTCCAAGTGTTTGCTGTATTTCTCCATCTAGGCAAACAAAAATGGATTCAACATGAGCAATCTCGGGAAGTTCTGGAGATCTCAACAGTGCATTCTCCACATTCAACGTCACATTGTCATCCCAACTATTGCATAAAGGCCCCTGAAAAGAATGTGCATACCGTAGTTATGCCCTTCAACTGTTTGCAGTAAAACAAAGGTACTCTGAGAGATCCCAAAACCACACTTCAAAGGACACCCGAAAACATCTACCTAGTTTAAGAGCAGGCAATTTCCACAGGTCTGGGGACCAGTTTCTGGGTGCATGCTGGCCACTTAAATTGCTGCTGCCACACTGGATATTTTGCCACAAAACTTTGGCAGCATGGCAGCGGAAAGCAGGGAGCATGCACTTGGCTGGAACATGAATTCCTTTCCTGGGAGCCTTTCATGAACACAATCTTTCCTCCTTGCTTTTAAGGAAAATCACTACTTATTACACTATAGCCATTTTTTAAAATATGCCTTCACTATATATTTACAAAACCTAGGATGCAACTGAGCATAACTTTGACAAATACATTACGGGAAAACACAGGGTTTGGTGTAACTTATGTTCCCCCAATAATATGTCATTCTACTCTGGGGTGGTAAATATGTTTTTCTCTGCTTTTGTGTATGTATGTTTTTTGTGGGTCAGTGGTTGTTTTGCCTTTCTTAATACATCCAGATTAAAATACAGGTCTTCTTTGCTTATTGTCATCAAGCAAGTTGCCCAGTACACACATGCCTACAGAATGTTTCCTCAAGTTTCAAGCCCATCCTGTTGACTTGATTGAAAGATCTCTGTGACAAAATTAACCAGCTCTGATTCTTACCAAAGTCATCATCATGTCAACTGGGCTAACTTTGTTTGGGTTCATCTTCTGTAGCAACTTCTTGACTTGCTCAAAGGTGGGCCTGTGTGCTGGATTGCTTTTTCTACACCTCCTGATCAGCTGCAAGAAAGGAATATGAATGGCGTATTTCAGGTTCAAGGTAACACTGCTCTGCTTCTTTATCACCAGAATATTTCAGTATCTCATCAAGGGCATGGTTTTAACTTAGAACCACTTGACCAGCCCAGGTATGACCAGCTCAAGATCTGATCCTTGTAGTGTCAAATTGTTTTGTGATTCCTCTTGTACCCAACTGCAGCGCACCCAGAAACTTCCAGAGACTCCTCCTCAATAGAATGGAGAATAACCCCACAGTTTGACATAATGCTTCATGCTGGAATCTTCTGCATACTTGCATAGGAGTAAGTATAATTCTGAAACATACACACAGAGGATCCAAAAGTTGGAACCTTCATAGCTTTATGTTCTTTCTTCCCTGATATTATTGCTACAATCATCTTTTCCTATTCTTTTCTATTAGCAGGAAAGTTTTCCTATTAGCAGGAGGATTTCTCTGAATTATTTCAAAACTTCAGTTTTGGAAACAATACAAATTGCACAAAATAATAAAAATATAGGCCAGTTTGCATATTATTTCTATTGTTAGTATGTGTCTGAGTCAGCATACAAGAAGTAAAAGGCAACTGCTCTGCCTGCAAGGTTTTTTAAAATTATTTTTGTGTTTCTTGTGGGTTGATTGGTTTGTTTTGCTGTCTAATTTGGGTTAATATAGCCCAGGGTGATGGATGTCTTTCAGCTAAGGACTGCATTCCAAGGGGTAGGTAGACCTGAAGGCAAAAGGAGGCCTGGCCACAGGCAAAAAGAATGCATCAAATATACCAGAATGCCAGCAGATTTTAGTTTAAAGCTCTTAAAGCCAGTTAGCAAGCCGTTGGAGAGGCATTTTAATTTTAAAGGGCCAGGGGGCAGCGGGGGTGGGAGGACAACTATGCAAATAATCAGTGGCTGGTAGAAGGAGCCATGGTATTCTTGGAAATTCCAGAGGACCAGATTGGGAGCTCAGTTCTGCATCCCTGCTTTAGCCCATCACATCTATCAATCTTACTTCAGGTTTAAAATAAGTAAAGATTTAGCACAGACTACTAATCTATGGTTAAATTAAGATTACTAATTACTATTAGCCTTGAGCAAGAATGTCGTATATAGACCTGCAAAATTTTTATTGTACACAGATGTTTTTTAATGCAGGAGAATATGTTTTAAATTATTTAATTGTTGGATTTTGTATATTTTAATTATATTGTGTAAACTATTTTGAGAGTATTATGCTAATCAAATGGTATATAAATGCTGTAAACAAACAAACACCCACAATTTAATTCACAAAAGACATTTTCTTTATATGGGGCAAAGCAGAATTTTGATTGGTCTTTGTAACAGTTATTAGTTCTTAAAATAGATGAAGCAGGTGACCTGTGCTCAAGATCCCCTCCAGGTTTTCGCAGAGAGAGAAAGTGGTGCTAGGCAAGATAATGTTTAACCCTGCCCAGTCATTCACTTTCCTTGGTCTAAATTACATCCCTCTCTAGTCTCTGCATTCCCAGAAGCTGCTATTAGCTCTGCAGGGGAAAAATATGCAGTTACAATATAGCTGAATTTTCAGAGTAGTTACTTCTAGAGAAGTCTAAACAAAAATGAGGATAAGGTGGAAATGGCTGTGGTCTTGGCTTCTTTAAGGCTATTTACCAGGCTCTCAAATTTGTTAGGATCAATTCTCAATGACAAGGTAATGTTTGAATCCTTATCCTTAATGTTTGAATTTTTAAAACACAGAGCCTCACCCCAGACAGATATTTTAGCTTACTGACAGCTACCTTTGAAATGCAAAATTTTCACAATCATTAAGTATGATTATGGATCTGACAGTTTATAACCATAGGAAATCATAAACCTCCAGTTGCTGCATATTAAAGGCATCATTTACTGCCTCCTGTTTTTTGTGTGACAAGCTGAAATTTCAGTTTGTCAAAAGAATACTATTTTTAAAGGCTATTAAAGCCACATGCTGTTCTGTGGCGCTTTGGATGAGGAATTGCAAACATACCTTCATTCTGCTCACATTTTTAACAGAAAACAGAACTTCTCCTTTTTCAAAGCCAACATGCCTAGACACCACATTTAATTTAGGACTGCTAGATTCTGGTGTTGTGTTGTTTTTTTTACTAACTCCAGTGCCATGTTGTGCCTTTACCAGCAATCTGACCTGCAGAATAGCAGGAGAATATGTTTGTGGAACACTTGATCTGCTGATTAAGGTGCAAGGAAAGAGTTTTTGGTTAACTAGCACATCTAATACCTATGTATCTTCAGCCCTTACTTCACAAAGACTGTTTATTGTTCCATTGATTATTTATATCCTCATTTTTCCTCTTGCAAGGAATCCAAGAGGCTTACATGGTCTTCTTCCTCCTCCTCTCAATGTTACCTTTCTAACAATTCTAACCTAACAAAGGTAGGTTAGGCTGAAAGTCACTGATCTACATTCACCAAGTGAGCTTCATTGCTGAGTGAGGACTAGAACCTGGATTTCCTGAACCCCAGCCCAACACCCTAATCACTGCACCCCACTGGCTTTAATTCACTCATAAAGATGAAAGAATGGGTATGGAAACATTAGATTTACCTCTACATATTCTGTAGGGCATGGACAGGCATTCTCAGATTTTTCTGATATTAATTCTACCAATGGAGGACACAAAGAATATTCTTCTGAATTTGTATCATCCTTCTGGAAGGCAAGATAATACCATTTTACATAATCTGGAGAATCACAGAGAAATGCTCTGGAAATCATCTTTCAAATTGAATACTTTCGTACTTTCCCAATGAACTAGTTTTATCATCTAAGTGTTAGTTTAGACACATCAAAAGCTGCCTTATGCTGAGGAAGCACATCAATACATCTAGCCTGGTACTGTCAACACTGACTGGCAGCAGCTCTTCAGACTTTCAAGCAAGATTTTTTTCCCTAGACCAACCTAAAAACATGAAGGACTGAACCGGGGACTTTCTATATGCAAAGCAGATGTTCCACCACCAAATTAGTTTACAGAAAGCCAACCTTTCACATGCTGAGCCTCAGCAATACCTTCTCGATCAATAAAGCTTTCTTGGAGCAATAAAGCTTTCCTCACATCTCATGTGAGGGAGGGTTTACAAGACCCCAAAGTTAGATTCTGAGCCTGGCTAGGGGAGAACTTCTACAGGATGCCTCATAAAGAAACATTTGGCTCTACCATAGATTTTTATGGCAGCCATAGTTACAAATAAGCTGTGGCTCTGTCTCACTAACAAGGAAGATTTTGCATGCCACACATCAACCCTTTTCTGCAACATATTCAGGTTTTAATTATCTCTTTTTTGAGGATCACAATTCAAATTTCAGCTCTTTGGAATTGTGATAGCTTTGAACATAGGAATGAGCAATGCTGAGTGATTCCACCTGGAGTGGGCTAAGGTACATCTGTGTCCTCTTAAACAGAGGATTAGACCCTATCTGAAAAGCTGCCCAAGTACCATCCTCTATTTGAAGAGCTGCCTTGTGCAATTTCAGCTTAAACATACAGAACTAGAAGAACTGCTGCCCAGCAACAGTTAGCCCTTAGGCAGCAGAACAAAAAAGCAGGCACACACCTGCCTGTTCTGCATTTTGGTGAGCTGTACTGTGATTACCTAAATCATAATAATTATTTCCAAATGTCCACCTATATCCATATCTGCATTTGGAATTAGCATTTTCAAACTGCATGCATTTTTTTTTTTTTTTGGGTGAGCTGCCCCGAGGCTTTGTTGCGATGGGGGCGGCATAGAAATTTTTTAAATAAATAATAAATAAAATAGGTGCCCTCTTTTCACGTGTGATTTCATCATAGTTGAATAGCTGAATAGATTCCTCAGCACATGCAAAGCAGCTTGTGCTGGTTTCTAGAAGCCAATTTTCCTTTTCAGTCTGCATACAAAAACCTTGAGGTGGCTTCTGCTGATGCTGAATGAATCACACTGCCGGCTTACCTGCAGCAAACAGCTGCCACAGGTAAAAAGGAATGCAGGTACCAAAAGTCCAGTGGTTGTGTAAATCTATCCAAAGGTGCAGCAGAATTTTGTCACAGGTCTCAACAGGTGCGAGCTCAACATTCGTTAAGGAGCAATGATGGTATGACTTACCAGTGTCGGGTCACTTCTTGTTGCTATTTCTAACAAAATGATAGAATAGCTGCAAGATTGGAAAGAAGTCATCATCAGTGAAACAGCGCAAATCAGTTAAGGGAAGAGGCAGCAACTTTGAAAGGGAAAGCCATACACGGACTCCAATCCAGTTAAATTAAGTCATGACTAAACCCCACTGAAAGCAGTAAGACTTCCACTTCAGTTTCCTCACTTTGAAAGGGATTTATTCATAACTAGCTGTTAGGAGAATTGGGACTAGAATCTTTAGCATCACTAAAGAGGATGACTTATTCCTCCTATTGAGAAAATAAGGACAAGCGCTTCTTATAGTGAATTGCAGTTTTGTCTGTTTCTAATATTCTGGCATCCTCCTTGTCATCACATCAATCCAATAATTACAGGATCCAGAAATCAGAAACCTTTTGATTGTTCTGGCGCATGGCTAGAGCAGAAGGTGAAAAGCGCATATATGAGAGCTACATGCAGTGTCACACAGAAGAACTCATGTAGCCACTCCAGCTGGCAAACTAGCGACTGATTACTGCCACAGTCAGACTTGTGGACGTCCTCCTGTAGCTTCATTAATACTCCTAGTGGCTATTTACATTAGACTAAGATGGCCAAACGTAATGGGGTTTTACCCTCTAATATGCATTTCCATATACCCCAAGAGACATTTCAGGCATACTGAAGCAGCACATGTTGAGCTATTGGTATGGAGTACAGATGCAGAGAGAGAGAGAGACAGACAGAGAGAGAGAGAGAGAGAGAGAACAGTATCCTCAAGCTGGACAACCTATTCAGAAGGATATCATAATCAACAATATCAAAAGCCACTGAGAAGGACAAAAGAATTAGCAGGATTGCATTTGCCACGATCCTTTTCCAGTCTATGTTATCCATCAAGGTGAGCAAGGATGCATCAGCCTCACACAAGAGCCACCCCCACTGCCATCAGCCAGCCCACTAATGTCATTGCCCTTTCCTGTTTTGTCTCTGAGCTGAAAGGCACAACACTCAGCACAGAGAAAGGGACTTAGGTGGTACAGCAAGGAGCGATTAGTCCTCCCACTGCTGGCCAGGTCAGCAGGATTCATCCCCACAAGGGTAGCACACGCAGTGTGAAGCCACTCAGGCAAACGCTTTGCACAACATCCCCATAGGATGGCTCACAGGCTGCAAAGCCACTCGGCTGGGGACTCCTCTGGGTGGCAGGCTTGGAGGCCATGCCCGTCCCCCGTAAGAACCAAGGAGGTTCTGCAGACCAGAGGTGGAATCTCTTTAGGACAAACCTCTGTATCAAATATCATATATGTGCCAAATATTATAAACCAAGAAAGGCAATGATTGAGGAAACGTTTTTCCTTGCTTACTTCTTCAGGCTGCAGTGGCTGAAATTGATTGCATAAAATAGGACCAGATTTTGGACGCCCACATAATGAACTGCAAACCAAACAGCCTCCAAGTTAAGGGAGATACAAGTCATTTTGTCTTCAAAGGCTAAGCATATGCAATAGTCTTTTTCACCTGGTGGGTTTAGAATAAAGGCAGCCTTAAACCATCTGTGCAGGTGCACTGGTGGTGAAAAATTCTTACCGGGGAGAACTAGATGATTATTCTTCCATACACAAAAACTTACTTGTAGAAAGATGGCACAGATGGAGGGCTCCATTACACACCAAGATCCCCACATGCACAAAGCACACACAGGGTGTCCTGCCATTCTATTCCTGCCTGCAGGCTGAACTGACAGTCCAGGAACTCTTTCTTCCCATACGGAAGGGAGGAGCCTCTGACTTTCTTGACAGTCTCTAAGTTTCATATATTTAGGACATTACAGGATACATAGCTGTGCCTATTCAAAAGGGCAATCTGTACTGCTATTTGCAAAACAAGCAGTAATTCCAGCAGTGCAAAAGGGAACCATCTACCCAGTGGGGAGCGAGATCTAATTACTGTCATCACCTGTACACATCTGCAACTGGAGTTGGCTCAAAATTCGGTATGGCTTGCGCTTCAGGAGCAACATATATCTGTGTAAATTGCTGAGGAGGATTGTGAGGCTCCATCAAAGAATCTTCTTTTCTGAAGGATGGTAATGCATAGTCTACCACACAGTGAAGTAAAAGAACAAAAGGGTTAGCTATTTTTCCTGGATATTTTGCATTATTTTGAGTCTAGAATCATTATAGATATAAGTCAATACACTCTCAGTTGGGAAATGAACCCTCCACAACATTCTCCTCAGGAAAATTTGGATGTGAGAATGCTTGTTTATGCCCTGAATGTTAGAATATTCATCACATTTTTTAAAAAATACTGAGCATCAGCTTTTAACATCTAAAGCAGTCAACATCTGACACTATCTAACACATGCTGTTTAACAGAATTTGATCATTTCTAATAGGCAAGAGTCAACATTTGGCAGCTAACATGAAGTCACTCTGAACTCACTCTGCCTACTCTCAGCAGCAGTGTCACATACCTGATTGGCTGCATGGTGACATTGTAGTGACTAGGAAAAAGGAGGGCTGTTTTTGAAATAAAAATTAGCTGTCCATGGGAAAAATATGCAAATTTTATGCAAGTCTGTGGCTTCTTTATCTAGATTTTTGGTGATGCATTTCCTCTTTGCATAACAGGAAATGGGAATGTATAAGTGGTGCTCTATCATTCACTAGTACCTCTCTACCTCTAGTCATAAGCAAGCAACTGTATCTCAGCCTCAGTCTGCAGAACTGCAATACAGGAATAATCATGCTACTCTAACCTACAACAGTGTTGGAAGCATCACAAAGAGTGATGTTGTTGTTGTTGTTAGTCGCGAAGTCGTGTCTGACCCACCGCGACCCCATGGACCACATTCCTCCAGGCCTTCCTGTCCTCCACCATCCCCCAGAGTCCACCCAAGCTCACACCAACTGCTTCAGTGATTCCATCTAGCCACTTCATCCTCTGCCATCCCCTTCTTCTTTTGCCGTCAACTGTTCCCAGCATTAGGCTCTTCTCCAGTAAGTCCTTCCTTTTCATTAGGTGGCCAAAGTATTTGAGTTTCATCTTCAGTATCTGGCCTTCTAAAGAGCAGTCAGGGTTGATCTCCTCTAGGACTGACCGGTTTGATCTCCTTGCAGTCCAAGGGACTCACAGGAGTCTCCTCCAGCACCACAATTCAAAGGCCTCAATCCTTTGGCGCTCAGCCTTCCTTATGGTCCAGCTTTCACAGCCATACATTGCAAGTGGGAAAACCATAGCCTTGACTATACGCATTTTTGTTGGCAGGGTGATGTCTCTGCTTTTTAGTATGCTGTCTAGATTTGCCATAGCTTTCCTCCC